CTGACGATCAACTCCTTCCGATCTCACGAATGCCCCCGCCTGCTGCAACCCCCGCCTGCGGGTTGTGGTGTGTGCTGCGACACCGGCGTTTCCGCACACCCCATCCACCCCACCCCCGTACGGCCGCCACATTGCCGCCACATTGCCGCCACATTGCCGCCACATTGCCGCCGCCGTGCCCTGTCCCGCAGCTACCATTGCACCAAGTACCCGGACATCGATTTGTGTCCCGCGGCCTTCGCGGAGGGTCGCTTCCCCCAGGGTACGACAGCAAAGGACTTTGTACGGATAGACGCCACCGCCAAACACTCGGCGGGCGCCGCGGCGGCGGCAGCGGGGGCCGTGGGGGTGGCGGTGGGGCCGCCGCACGGGGGCCAGGGCACCGAGGTGAGATCGCGTGTGCACACGTGGTGGTACATACGTGCGTGTGTATGTGTGTGCACGCTCCTGCCGCCTGGCCAGGTGAGTCTGAGGAGGTTCGAGTGCTTTGTCGGTGAACCGCGTTGCGTTGCTCGGCTAGCCGGGCTAGGACAGTTGGGTCGGTCGGGTGGGGCGCGCGTTTTTTTTGGGGGGTGGTGGGAGGAGCACTTGGATATCACCAGCTTTTTATTACCAGCTAATCAGCCAGTATTGGTCTAACCTCGTCAGGCCGGCGGCAAACTTTATTCCAGCTCACGTCATCATTTTCGCCGCCTCTACACCAACCCTTTCTTCTTTATGGCTTCGTTCTACTGCTTTTCTTCCGCTCTTGGCGGCTAGGTAGGAAGGTAGGTAGGTAGGTTTCCGCGGTCGTCATCATTACATGATCCCGAGGTCGCCTCGTTCCAAACCGCCTACTGGTCAGTAAGTCAGCCTTCTTGTACACTCTTTCCTTGGCAGCAGCTTCACTCTCTCACGTGGTTCGTCTTTCCCGCTCCCTCTCCCCCTCACGGCTCTGCAGGGCTCCTGGTCCCAGCAGGAGACCCTGCTGCTGCTGGAGGGGCTGGAGATGTTTGGGGACAGCTGGGGGGAGGTGGCGGACCACGTGGGGACCAAGAGCCAGGTGGGAGGCAGTTGGCGGTTGGTGGCTCAGTTGTGCGGTTAGTTGGTGGTTGAATCGTTGGTGGTTGTTGTCTGAGGGGTCAGAGAGGGGTTCGTTTCCGCTCACAAGGCCCACGTTGCCCAGGACTTTAAACAAGTCACACCGCGAAACAAAGTTACGGGGACCACAAAACCAGGGACGCTCGAGCATACCGGGTGTCCTTCATACCCCGGTAAAAATATAGACAATATTAAACTTAGTTATCTTTGATACTAGTAATTCTTGTTCCTTTTAAACTTGGCCGAGTTAATGGCCTTTTAAGACCACAAATTGTGGTTTCTATGGTTTCTAACTTCCCCTTAGCTTCTCCCTGTGCCGTACCTTCCAGAACCTTCCCTTAGCATCTTAACATCTGTTCACGCAACTGTCCAAACCGCCACCCATTCACCCAACCCCACCTATAACCGCCTAACCCACGCACATTTACACCGCGCACCCGCCCACTCACCCTCCCTCCCTCCGCGCCAGGTTGCCTGCATCTTGCATTTCCTGCAGCTGCCCATTGAGGACGCTTTCCTAGATGATTTGGAGGCGGGCCGCGGGCCGCGAGCCGGGCCCGTGGCCGCTGCAGCGCCGAACCAAGGAGCTGGTGGCGGCACCGGCACCGGGGGTGGCATTCGGCTTCAGCACGGCCAGCAACAGCAAGCGGGTCGCCAGGCCCAGGCGGCCAGCCGTCAGTCAGCGGCGGCGGCGGCGGCGGCAGCGGCGGCGGCGGCGGCAGCTACGGGCATTCCTTTGGTGAACAACATTCTGGAGGAGGAGTTGGTGCCGTTCGTGGAACACGCCAACCCAATCATGGCGCAGCTGGCGTTCCTCTCCACGACGATGGGCCCTCGGGTCGCGGCGGCGGCGGCGCAGCGCGCGCTGGAGGTGGGTAAGAAGGAGGGGTCGGGAGCTGCTGGGAGTGGGTTGGGTTTGGGCTTGAGCTTGGGCTTGTTGTGAAGTCATGATGGCTAAGAGAGTCGCATCATCGCACTAGGGGTTGTTAAAAAATCCAGACAACGTTAACTTTAAAGGAAGTAACGATCCGACCTGTTTTAATGCACGGGTTGTTTTTTTGCTCTGCTGGCCGCCCACGCCACCCCTGACCGATCATTCTTCACTTCGGCTCCTGGGCCCGCAGTTTCTGTCTTCAGATGAGGAGGTGGCTGCGGCTCTACAGGAGCAGAAGCAGCGGCAGCAGCTGCAACAGCAGAAGGCCGCCGCTGCCGCCGCCAAGGAGGCACAGGCTGCCGCACAGGCTGCGCCTGCAGTGGTGGTGACGGCACAGCCGCCGCCGGCGGGCCCGCGAGTAGCGGACGTGGGTGAGACGACTCCTGTGGTTGGCGCCAGCGGGACGGCGGGTGGCAATGGCAGCGAAGCTGCCGGTGCTGGCGGCCCTGCCGCCGCTGCTGGCGCAGCACCAGCACCAGCACCGGTACCAGCGCCGGAAGCGGCCGCAACAGTGCCGCCGAATGAGGCGGCAGCGGGTGGTGACGGCGCCGGCGGCGGTGCAGCTCCCATGGCCATCGACAGCGGCGTTTCCGCAGCTGCCGGTGGCGACACAGCAGCGGCAGCAGCGCTTACAGTTAGCCCGCCGGCGGCAGCGGAGGCGAAGCCTGATGAGCCCCCAGCGCCGCTGGACCCGACGATGGTGCCGCTGACGGCGGCACGGCTCCGAGCGGCGGCGGTGGCGGGTTTTGCGGGGGCGGTGGAACGAGCACGCCTGCTGGCAGAGGAGCAGGAGAACGACATGCTGGATATCATGGCGCAGATTGTGGAGGTACAGGTGCAGAAGCTGGGTCTAAAGATCAAGTACATTGAAGATGTCGAACAGGTGCGGTTCATTAACGGCTTTATATCCAGAGAAGAATTACTTTTGATTTATTTTCCAAAGGCCGGCATTTCGTTTGCCTTTGTTTACAAGAATTACTAAATTTTCAGGGAAATATTTTAAATAAATATTTTATGATTTTAACTCTTGGCCCTTTGGCTTGGCTGTAAGGGATGAAGGCCAAGAAAAAAATAAAGGAAAAAATAAAAAAAATAAATCAGTAGATAATGTAAGAAGGAAGAAGGTGTGTTTTTCTATTTTCAGGGGGAGCCATGTTTGCTTGTAGTAACTGTTGCAAGCAGAGCACTGAGACAGTGCTGCCGCCCAAGCAGCAGCAGCAACAGCAAGCTGTTAGTTGGCCCCTACGCCTCGGGGAAGTGTCCTCTCTCACTCTCTCCCTCTTTCAGGGTGTTGGGTGCATCTTGATGTGTTGTCTCCATCGCCAGGATCACGTGATCATGTGCACAGGCGACGCGTCGCAGGTGCCATCCGGCGTTTTGTTTAAGTAATAAAATATTACTTAAAAGGAATAAATCGGCATTTTGGCCTTTGGAAAAAGGAATAAATTGAGGCCGACCCGAGCATTTTAATTCCTCCAGCCACAAACGTCGATTGCTGCCAGATTGTTTCGTAGTGTGCAGAACTGTGGCGCTCCAGCAGCAGCGGAATGCGACCCTGTGATTTGTTATGCGGTTGCTTACTTTGGGCCTTTGCTTAGTCGATTTTACTTACTGCTCTCAAACAGTGCCAGAACTATCTACGCAAGTGCACGAAGAGTGCACACACGAACGAAAACGCGCCAACTCAGTGCGTGACTCTTGGTCTATGAGGGGAGTTGTACCTTATGGGGGGGTCTGGGGGGGCGGAGCCCCCCCGCCAGCGCCTCACAATTAAGGAATAAATTACGAAAACCCTAGCAACTTTGTTTGTTACTTAGGTTGGAATAAATTGAGACCCGTCCTAAACGAAAAACAATCACTGGTGCCATCAGGCATTCCCTGGAGTCGCCGCAGGATGCCGCTGAGGGAGGCGGTGCAGCTCTCCTTCCCATTCCCCTCTTGACATTTTCGCACTCCCTAAACCTCCCACACCCTCTCCCCGGCCCACCCCCACAAACGCGGCCCTCCCATGCGGCTATCTGCGCTGTTGTTCCGGGCTGCTGCTGTGCACGTGCGAGCACACATAGGCTCTGGAGAGTGAGCGAGGGCAGCTGGAAAACTCGCGCCGAAACCTGGACGAGCAACGATCTCAGCTGCGCGACGCACGTCGTACCCGCGCTCAGCAGCAGCTGCAGCTCGGCATTCCCCTCCCTCCACAGCAGCTACAGCCGCCACAGCAGCTGCAGCAGCAGCAGCAACAGCCGGTCCTCCAGGTACAGGCTCCGCAACAGCCGCAGCAGCAACCGCAGTTGCAGCTGCAGGCGGGTGGTCTCCAGCTTTCAGGATTGCAGGGCCTGCCGCCGGCGGCGGCGGCGGCGGCGCTGGCCGCTATTAGCGCCGCCGGCGCCGGCGCCGGTCTGACCCAGCAGCAGCAGCAGCAGGTGGCTGCGCAGGCGGCTCAGCTGATGCAGATGCAGATGCAATTGCAGATGCCAGGAGGGGGGGTGTTGGGGGGTATGGGCCCCGCGGGGGGCCCTGTCTAGCGCCCTGGACGTGCTCCAGGGCCGGTATAATGAATGTATTTATGTGAATATTAGTAGGGTTTTGCTCTTTTCTCCAGAATGTGAAGACTCCAGGGAAGCAACAGAAGCGACTTATCGGGAGGGGGAAGCCTGTTTTGGACGTCGACTGATGCCGCGGAGAGTTGGGACTGGAGTGGACAGGACCGAGCTGAGCTACTTCTGATTGGACGGACAGACGGACTAGGGGCGGGTCTTGACGCGCATCACGAATTGTCATTGCATGGCGGTGTATGTGTGTGTGCGTGTGTGTGTGTGTGTGTGTGTGTGTGCGCGTGTGTGTGTGTGTGTATGTGTGTGCGTGTGCGTGTGCATGTGTGTGTGTGTGTGTCTCCTGATTGAGGATTGCTGAGGAGGAACTACGAGGAAGGTCCGGCGCTGGTTTCACCACCTCTCCTTAGGCTTCCAGTGGCAGCACTAAGTGCAATTTAGTGACTTGGGAAGAGCCTGGATGCGGGGCAGGGACGCAGGGGTGCATCGGAGCCCTGAGGCCTTGGGGCCCCCCACAGCTTCGGGGAGCGGGAGCGGACAGCCTCGGGGAACAGACATCAGCTTCGGCGGATGGGAGGCAACATTTCGAAAATTAAATGTCTGCGGCGGAAGGTCCCAGCAGGTACGCAGCATCTGCGAGGGGCCTCAGGAGGCATATGTCGCTGCGGCTATTCGTATTTTCGCGAAAATTACTCAGCTAGAACGTTCGGCTCGACTCTCCCCTAAGGTTTCCGCGCGACATATTTCAGTTCTTGGCTTCTACCATGGCAACGTTCATGACTGTCAGCGACTTCCCCGTACCTCTCCACTTGTGCCAAGAAATTGAAACTTGGGGTCAAGGGGCAGAGGGAGAAGCCGGCAGCCAGGCAGGAGCGCAGACAGCTATGCCGGCATATGTCACATGCATCGCTAAGCCAGCCAACGATTCGCGTGTGGATTGCAGGCTCGCTGACACATAAATTAGTCACGCCGGACAGAAGCGTCAATGTCAGACACAACCACTTATCGACAGGAGGTGACCGCGTGACGCCTTAAGCCTACGGGCGACTGTTGCAGAAAAGCACCGACCATTTTCCACTTTTCAGTCACCTCTCCCGCACAACCGTAATTCTATCAAACGTATGCCAGTTATAAGGGAGCAAATTCGACATTTCAGGATTGTTGCCTCCTGTCGATGGGTTTTTGCGCACCAGTTCTTGTCCAGGGGCCCCTCGCTCCACCGTGGAACTGCCGCGACACACCGCTCTGCCGCTGTGTGTGTGTGTGGGGGGGGTGTTGCCAATGTGACCTCGCTTATGCTGCACCCCTCATGTCGAGACGCATGCCGCCACAATTTAGCAAACTCGCCTTGTGAAAAACGTACCTGAAAGTCTACATCTTAGACAGAGACCTTGAAAGGAGAGAAGGACAAGCCGGGGCCAGCTGGGAAACACACCTTGTGTGGGGGGTGGCGCGGTGGGGTCCATGGCAATATACGCTGGGACGTAAGCAGGCCGCGCGAAGGGACAGCAGCGGAACATTGTACGAAACGAACACGTACGAAAGCAGCGAAGAGAAAGGGACATACAGATGCGGAAACGAGCTCCGAATCATGAACACAGATTCTCCGGGCATATATCTTACATACATCGCAGGGCACGGCCCCGCTTTTTTAATAAGAGGTGCCTTAGGCACATTATCATCTACCTCGGCTTCCCTGAACTGCACCGATGCCGAGAATACCAAGTACGGCAGTTCCCTTGTGTACATCCACTGAGACACCCAGAAGCTTGACACGAAAACGATAGGGGAAGTAGGCAGCTCACCGCCGAGGCTAGTGGTCACGGGTGAAACTACCCCACCCTCCCTATCCCACAAAATTGCATTCCTATATGGTATGTAAAGAACATGTGTACATGTCCGTCCATAATAATCACACCAGAAGCTAGAACCAGATGTGTCTTGCTCATCTTTCCTCTGACCTTTTACCATTGATTTGATCTGTTGTTTCCATAACAGGTTTCCCGTTCCCCCCAAACCTATTTGATATAATCCAGTCTCAGTCCATTTGTAGCGCACTTCTACCGCAACTCTTCCCCCTTCTGATGCAGTGCCACCAGCTACCACCTGGCCTACAACCATGAAAACCATTAAGTACAGTACAGTATGCACGCAACTACTACCGTCTATATACTCTTCCCCACTTGGCTGACCTTCCTGCATGCAGCCGGTTGATATGCTCTTCATCATCTATCTCTTCATCATGCTCTTCCTCAGCGTCCTTGTTATAAAATCAATTTGGCTTCCAGCAGACACGCACAGCAACGATAAAAATGCAACAACCGCAACAAATGACAGACAGCATCGACACTCCGATGAGCAATGCCAGACCACGTACGGCCCCTGACACCGTCTGCAGACACCTCTTCTCTGCGTGCAACGTATGAACAATACAATATTCAACCTTTTCTACCTCTATTCATCTGTACTGCAAGCACACTTCTTTCATGTAAAAGCCACACAGGCATCACTGCATGCGGGTACACTACTGCTGACGATGGATGCATGAGTGCGAGTAGGTGGGCGTACTCGTCTCACCGCCTCTACCCCCGTCCCCATCCCCTACATACATAATACGTACATACATACGTACATACGTACATGCACATATACATACATACGTACATACATACAGGCAAACACATCTCCCCGCCGCCACGACTAGGTGGTAGCAGTGGCAGCACCAGCAGCCGCCACATCACCCCTCCTCCTCAATGTGGCTATGTAGTTCACGGACAGGTCGTCGCTCAGCTGCCAGGACAGGCCGGAGGGACCCCCGCCCAGGGGCACCATACCGGCCGCGTGCCACACTTGTAGGCCGCACGAATCTGACCCAGGGGAATCGGGAGCGTTGCGGGGAAGGAAGGGTTTCGGCGGAAGAAGGAGAGGCAGGATCAGACCCCCGACGGGGAGAAGGAGGTAAGGAGGTGGAAAAGGAAAAAGAAACAGGAAACCGGGGAGGGAGAAGAGAAAAGAAGGAAATGGCACTGTGGAAGGTTTTTAGAGAGTTCCGGGTGTCCTTTGGAATATCATGATGTAGTAGTGAGATGCAGCCCCTCGGATTTATGTAGCCCCTTTTTTCATCCTCACGCAACTCCCCCCCTCTTACATCACGGAAGGGTTCCTTCCCGGCCCCCCTCACCCACCAGCCATGACCGCCAGCTCCTCCGGCGTGATGAACTTCCTCCAATGATGTGTGCCCTTGGGTACCAGACCCGTCAGGTACTCGGCTCCGGCAATGGCCACCGCAAAGGAGGAGGGAGTCCTGGGGGGAGGGAGGCGGTTGGAGGGGGAGGTTGGAGGAGGTTGGGGGGGGGGGGGAAAGAGTGTACCAGAGTGTACCAGAGGTTGGGGGTGAGGAGGAATCATATGCGAGGAGACACGGAATAAACTGCCAGCGCGCAAGAATTGAAGGGGGGGTGGGGGAGAGGGGAGAACCACGACGTCATGATGTTGGGAGAGGAGAGTTCAAGGTACAACCGCCGACGTCTCCCCAACTGCACCGACTGCAGGAACTGGGTTCCAAGTGGCAGCTGCCCCAGGATTGGTTTTCCAGGATTGGTAGGATGGGGCTTATGTTAGGGAAAACCGCCCACCCGAGAGGTATCGGGAATGGGGGTGAGGGTGTGTATTATTGTGCAGGGCTTTCTAAAAATGCAATGTTCTGGCAGATCAGAGCTGGCGGATGGGGGTGAAGTCGGATGGGGATGGCAAGGGAACAAGTTGTGAGCGAGAAAGGGCCAAAGATAGAACCACCACTATCAACCACAGGACAGGTACCGCTGGGGGAACCCGGATACGGTGTTGGATAGGAGTTACAGGAAGGACCCGTTGGGAAAAAGCGTATCCGCCGGGGGGGGGCTGCGTGGGGAAATGCGTTTCTCTATGCAAAACCCTAAGCAAAATGCATCACAGAAAATTCCCAACTGCTGCTGCAGCCGACATTCCCCTTGCGGCCGCCGAGGAGGGAAAGCAGCAAAGGGTTGTTGCGGGTGTAAGGCAAGCAGAGGAGGGGAGGGGAGGGGAGGAGAGGTGGAGACCCCTCCACCCTCCACCCTAGCCACAACACCCTACTTGTCCCTACTTGTTCTTTATTTCAATGATGACAACCTTATCGCCTGAACCAGCATACTCCCGTTCCGAACTGCGTTTGAATTCCCACAAACAAACAAACAAAGTTGACGTCCACCAAAAGCAAAAACCCCTTCACCAACGCCCTGGCGCAAACCCTACCCCGACACTCTGCTGACTTCAGAGAGCATACACACCACACTGTACAGCGCAGTAGGAGGTAAGGATGGTATGTACGTACATATAGAGTTACAAGTTACAAGTTCGCACACAAGTGCGGGTGTGTCCGTAAAAGCCGGGGGGGCCATGGACGTACAGATGTACGTACATACAGATGTACGTACATGGACATACAGATGTACATACAGATGTACGTACGTACGTGCGGCACCATGAACGTGTGTACGGAATATCGTACTCACCTGTTGAGTGTGGAGACGATCAGGGCCCCACCGGAAGCGGACCGAGCCCCGGAGCGCACCGTATCCGGTATCCCGCTTTCCGACCCGCCGGCTGCTGATCCCCCTGGCCCTGTGTGCGGCGCTGTCGGGCCCGACAGCAGCGATGTCAACACCGGCAGCAGCTCATGTGGCCGGTTGACATGCTCCAAAACCTCGCTGGCAATCACCACGTCGTACAGTGCCGTACCGGAAGCTGCTAGATCCTCCGCAGAGATGACGTCATACCTGCGAGAGCGCATGTAATCATTTTGAGGAAAGGATGGAGAGGAAAGGGATAATTCTTTTCTTAATGCGAAGAATTCAAAGAAAAAAGACTCCCGTGTCTCATCACCACACCACCACCATTCCCCCACAGGGGTCAAGACACGTACACGCAGCAGGCGACAAGAGAGGCGCCAGATGGGGCAAACGAGGGTAACGTAAGGGTAACGTATGTGTTACCACACGGCGCTGGATAGAACCGTGCGGGGGTGTTAGAATGCCGCAGTGTACCTCTTTTTACCTGACTCTGGCAGCGACTCGTGGGTCCGCCCTCACATGCATCCCTGCCACCTCCACATTCTCCCTCGTCACGTCAATGCCGTGCACCTCCGCCCCAAGGCGAGCCAGCGCCTCTGACAAGATGCCCCCGCCGCAACCCACGTCCAGAACACGTAGACCTGTGTGTGTGTGTAATGAGTGTGTGCGGCGAGGGAAGGGACGGAGTTGATGAGGGAGCGCGGCGCGGCGTGGGCTTGGCGTTGGGGAATTATTCGGGCTTGGCGTTGGGGAACCTTGCGGAGGGCAGGAGTGGGTTCAAGACGAAGGAAGCCCGGGATGCGCGCCATGACCACAGCACGACAGCTCCGCTCCGCCGTCCAATCTTTTTATTGGCGTCACGTCCCACATCATCAGCGGCGATGACTGTTTGTTATGTTGCTTGGGCTCTTTAGTCCAGATGAGATAGTCCGTCACAGCCCGCCACCCACCCACGTTCCTGTACCTTTTAGCGGCTCGGAGGTCTCCAGTTCGAGTCCCATCAGGGACGCCAGGCTCTGACGGATGAAGCGGACCCGCACTGGGTTGAGCGCGTGTAGCGGTGCAAAGGGGCCGTCACTGGAGCGCCACCAACTGGCGGCCAGGGCGGCAAATTTGGAGGCCTCTCGGGGATCGATGGATGCACCGCGGGCACCGGTGGTAGTTCCGCCACTGCCCCTGCTGCCGCCGGTATTCGCTTTCTCCTCGCTGCCATTGTTGCTGCTGGTACCGCTGGTACTGCTAGTGCTGTTACCAACAGCAGCGCTGCTTGTGGAGCTGCTGTTGGGACCAGAGGCTTCATCGGGAGGGTAGAACACGGGTTCGGGGATTGTGACGAAAGTGGCGAATGGGGAGGGGGAGGGGGAGGAAGGGTTTGGGAGGGAGCACGTTGAGGTGACGGTGGTGGCGCTGCGGGTGGATGTGGCGGGGCCGGTAGATGTGGCTGCTGGTGCGGTGGATGAGGTGGCGGGGAGGAGGCCTGTGAGCCGGGTGGGGCTGCGGCGGAGGAGGAGTGGAGCCGGGGGAGGGGTGTGGGCAGGGGGTGTGGGCGCCCGGACCTGCACCACGGCGGCTGTAGCTGTGGTGGGCGAGGCCGAGAGTGAGGGCGTGGGTGAGCCTGAGGCTGGTGTGTGGGGACTTAGGTTCAGCTGGCGGTAGGACGTCGGGCTCGTCAGGAGGGGCAGCGCCAGGGTGCGTGTCGGGCTGTTCTGGGATGGAGAGGTTCCAGAAGGAGCGGGCTGGCCGCCGGTGCGGGGTGTGCTCGCGCTGCCACCAGTGTCCTGACGGCTTAGCGAAACGGTTGGCAACTTTGGTGGCGAGCTCTGGCCCGCCACAGCCAACCTTGGAGATGCCAACGGCAGGTCGGGCAGCAGGACCGGTAAGCTACTGGATGGTGTTGAGGATGCTGGAGTGGAACTGGTAAGGACGCCACGCGGCGTTGTCGAGATGCACTGTGCCAAAGCCATGAAGCTGCTTCTGCACACAAATGCACAGGAAATTGTGACACCCTGTGACAGGGCAATGGCGTGGTAGAAAGCAAACCTGGTACCTGATATGCCCGGAATGCGTGAATGCATAAGATTTCAATGCCGTCAGAAGCATGGACGACTGAATCCTGCCACCCATTCGAAAATGTGGAGCTATGAGCTCATCGACGTTCGCTCGAACAGAAGAGCAGAGAATGCCAACCACTTCAGAGGATTACAAGGTTTGCACTGATACACTATCTTAGTTACCTACCGACATAGAACTTTCGTGCCAGCTTTGCGGACTGCATACGGTCGGTCATGGTGTACGGCGTAACTTCATAAAACGCAGCTACAAAGTTGCGCACCAAATCCTGGCTTAATTGGTCAACATTGTTAGTGATATGAAGGCAAGGAGATCACGAACCATGTCCCCTTTTAGCTTGCGCCGATATGTAGTATTTAAATATGCTTCGGTTGTTTTTCATTTTCCTTCAAACTGTGAAGACAGTCTGTCTGGGAGTGCTTTCGCAATCAGGGCACAGCTTTTTTCCCACAACCGAACAATAAATTCGGCCTGTGTTCATCACCAGAGATCATTTTCCGCTTACACACGCACAGCATGTCCGCACCTCGACTGCATCCCGCTTACGCACGGACGGACAAGGACAGCGCAAGCATTTGCACCAACGTATGGTAGCAAAAATGCCACTGTCTCATGGCGGGTAGCCGTGAGAGCACAAACAGCGCACCACGCCTTGCCTGCCTCTGCTCACGCCTCATAAGCAACACCTTGCCAAACCGCCCTATGCGCTTCAAGTCACAAAATTGCACACAGAGGCAGAAGGCGAGATGAAGAACCTTTCCTTCGAGCCTGCCCACAAGGACATACCGCGTTAACCAATGGCGCCAACGACGCCAAACCCTTTACCATTAGTCGTTACCCCGTTCGAACACTGCAGAGCGGTGGTCGTTTGTCCCCTGGCGCGCGGTCGCGAATGAGGCCCCTAATCCAGGACAGGCGAGCCCATGGAAAAATTGCAACCCGCTGCCGAGGGAGCAAACACCTCCCTCTCCACCCAGACCGCACAGCAACACGGAAGGCCTCCAACACGGATATACATGCATGCGGTAGGAACTTTTTTGATGCACGGACGCCGACTTGCATTCAGCCATCATCTCTAGCCTAGAACAGCAAACACGCCGCACCCTGAGGCCGCGTAGTACGTGCCCCACATCCTCCCCATCCGCTGCATCAGGAGCAGGCTCACCGCACCCACGCAGGCGGCTTCGACACCAAAGAAAATGCCCCATGTGGCCAGGATGTGACGGACAGCGGGAGGTAAGATGTCTCACCCGTATCGTCTCCTCCCTCGTGCCTTTCTCTGGTGTATAATGTGCTCCGTTCCCTCGGTAGTCCGTTCCCTCCCTCCACATCACGTTATCCATCTCAAGGCCTTGACGAGAATGGAATCGTTTGTCGTAGTCTGCCGTAGTCACCAAAATTCCCACCAAAGGCCTAGAGAAGCGACGCCGGAGCCTGGACCCGCGGAGCATTGCCGGGCTAGGATCCCATCGACAAGTCTACACGCGGATGCTGAACACACAGCGGCGGCAGCACCGGCCCTCGACGCAAATCGGTCAGTTGGCGGTTTTAACAGGGTGTTTAATCCACCACCTTGATGCCCATGTTCTTCGCCGTGCCCTCGATCATGCGCACCACCGAGTCCACCTTGGTGGCGTTGGTGTCCGGCAGCTTCTTAGCCGCAATCTCCGCCACCTGCTTCCGTGTCACCTGACCAACGTTCTCCTTGTTGGGCTTGCCCGCGCCGCGCTCGACGCCTGATGGATTGACATCATTACACACAGGGCGAAAAAAGGGGACATACGCAGTTGGTAGGAAGGCCCACCGATGTAATCTGGAAGAGCCGGTGGAGTGCTCAGCAGTATTTTGCGTCTGAAGTCTGTCATGACGTTTAGTAAGGTGATCCCTTGCCGAAGCGAGAGTGCTGCAACCAAAGATGAAAGTGGCACTTGGGGTGGCAGGTACAGTAGGGTGGTTGACGCGAATCGTCCCCGGTCAAGACATTTATCCCAGCTTGAAAAGTTGCTCCTAGCCCCATTCGCTTGCATTTGCTGCGTTTCCCAAGGGCAGACGGCTGTCACCATGCTCCGATTGCAACCGTTCTCCCGGGCCTTCTACGCAGTTGTGTCACAAGGTCAACGGATAAAGTGTAAGATCGGTGGCCAAATGCGCGTGAATCAGACTGCTAAGCTCCATAAGCATCGTCATATTTCCATAAGGGACTTGCCGGCCGGCCTGGCCATATCAACCAAGCCCGCCCCCCTCCCCTCCCTGGCTTCCTCGCTTGTTAGAACACCCACCAGCAGCCTTCTTCAGCAGAATGGAAGCCGGCGGCGTCTTCAGGATGAACGTGAAGCTACGATCCTGCATGCGCACAAAGATTTCCGTTAGGCTACCCTGCCATCTGAGCCGTGGGTGTCCAACATGGGCAAGACCGCACCTCATACACTGTAATCTCGACGGGGATAATGTCGCCAATAAACTTTGATGTTTGCGCGTTGTATTCCTTGCAGAAAGCCATAATGTTTACACCCTGCACAAGAAAGCAGGTCATTAATCGCTTACACAGCTGCATTGGGCAGGACTTATCAGGTATCAGTCTTACCTTTGAACCCAGAGCCGGACCCACAGGAGGAGCGGGATTAGCCTTGCCGGCTGGCAGGGCCAACTTAATCTTTCCCGTCACTGCGCGCAGCCGGCCCAATTCAGCAGTCCAAAATCAGTTTGCCAGCTTATTTCTCGGACATCAAACACCATACATCTATTAACAGGTAATTATTAGCAACTGTTTCTAGCATTCCTGCGATTCGCCCTGAAAATGGACCAGCGCCGCAGTGGCTCTGTTTGCCACCACAACGCACCCTTTGCAGCCATAGTAGTGACCTTGCGGTTGGCTGTTCGTGCGCCGCTGGGAAAGCCGAACGCAAGCCGGCCTGCACCGGCGGCAGAGAGCGTGCGAGTGGGGAGACGGACCCCCGTTCCGCTGACAGGCATGACCACGGCCATGATAGATGGCAAGGAATATGGCACGTGGAATCTAAGGTGTTGGCCGGACGCTCTAGCTGTGTAATATAGTACCCGTCGACGCAAAGCCACAATATTTTGGCTCACTGTACGGCAGCCCGAGAAAATAGAAGCCAGTTTGCCGCTGTAGCTTCACAGAGTAGCAAATACCAATGCCGCAACATACCAATACACTGTCCGAACAACACAGACATGAACTTTCTACGGTTGAAAGGGTGGAGTTGTCACTAGCTCTATATGTTTGCCGTGTGTTAGTGCTTGAATTATAGCCGGCTAGATAGAAGTTGCATCTCTGCCCCGAGACGCAATCCATAAACATGCTAAAGCCTTTACCTCATGCTCCGGAAGTGATCGATTCCCACATGGTGCTCCAAGAGCCGACGATACGCGTGGGATATGGCTTGGGCATTACGAAGGAGATTATATGGGTCTTCAGGGGTCATCATGCTGCGCGTTTGCACCAAACGCTGGCTTTCCCTACCAAAAACTGTGCTTAAGTACTCGTTTGGGCCCTGTCAACTGCCCATCCCAGCTTATACGCGTTTCCCATACGGCGCGCCCACGTCCATCAGCTATAACTTTGGTACATGTGACAGGCTTGCATGCGTCTGTCACTTTTTTAACCCCAAGGGTGCTAGACTGCATGCCCCCCCATCAGGCGCCCATGCCATATACAGACATGGCACTGACCCTTACAGAGGTGACAAGCCAACCCATTTGGCGCCATGGTCGGCTGCGTGTACAGTATAACCATATTCACCCAAGAACCATTCCTCAGTTCGTTTGCTGTCCGTGCCCTCACCCATAGCCCCGTCCGCTAAGTTGGTCTTTCTCATGCACCTCCCCTGTTCCGTGTGTCCCTTTGCTGCTTTTTAAGCCAGAAGGGTCTAAGCCGGTAAGATGCAGCACGCCAATCAGCCAAAATGCCGGATGGATCAGCCATGCAAAGCTGAAGGAACCCCCCCGTCCTACACGTTCAAATGGACTGTGGCGGCACCCGTGCATCTGTCTCTATGCCTGGTTGGTATAATAGACTCTTCATTCCTTCACATCCCATGGGTGCTTAACCCCCCTGGGAACCCAAAGGTGCTGCATATTGTCAGTGGTCGGATGCAGCTGTGGCGCAGACTAGTCAGGGATAACACGGCGATGGACGGTCACAAGCTGATGCCTGCAAGTCTGATAATCCTAACTAATGTTCGGTAAAGCCATCAGCCCTGGGTGCTGGTATGACGACGCAACAAGTGTGCAACTACACCTGACTATTTACTTGCCTGGCAAGTAAACCGGCACCCGCAAACTCCCGGTATCGTTCACATACATACATACAGCCAACCTTCATGGTACCAAACATGACAGCCGCTGCTCCTCCTCCTCTTAAGATCCGTCCCAAGCTCAGCAATGAGCTGACCGACAACACACTGCTGTCGTCTTTTTGGGTGGCCCAAGTCGCTTCAGTTGCTGTGCAGGATGTGGAGGACCTTATTGTCCGTATCCGCCTGCCCCAGTATGTGGTTGTCCCTCTGCTGTGCTAAGTCTCGCTTCATGCATGTTGTTGTCCAAAGCTGGTTGCTGCTCTTCAGCCCTTTTGTATCGGGCCCTGACGGGACCCACATGGCTTTTTTTCAGGGATGTGTTAGATGTCATACATGTCATACATAGGAGCCATCGGGTGCCCACCAAGCCTACAGGCCATCCAGAGTCTCCACTACTTAGCCCCATAGCATTGGCCATTGGTCTGGTCATAGCAGCCCGGATGCCTCCAGCACCTGTTTCCCTCACCGACTCCTTGAGGCTCACAGCCAGATACCACTCGGGCGTGTGGCGGCTTTGTATTGAGGGAAAGGTTAAAATGCAGCACGCCTTGCATGGGAAGGAAAGGGGATAAGGGGGACGGTTCGTGTTCGGTGCGGTTCGTGCGGTGGAAGTTTAGGCCTTTGGCTCTCTGCGCCTGTGCCTAACTGCGGACGTGTGCGATAAGGACATGACCACGGACATTCTCTCCACGTCTGGCTGTCGGCTGACTTGGGCCTACGTGGGTTATGTGGAGGGTTGTAGTGGCTAGGCTTAATGCGATGGCAGCGCGTGAATGGAAGTGTATGGCGAAATCTTGCAACGTTGCAAGGTTAGAGCGTGTTTCGCAGAGGTGCCCTGGAACGGTGGGAGCAAAGGAAGTTTCAAACGCGTAAGAGGCGCTGGGAATTACAATTCTTTATAGTGATTATTATAATACCGAGTGAACGCCAACCAAGGTACGCGATACAAATGCAGGTCGAATGGCCCGGTGAAAACTGCGCCGGATGGGCAAGCTTAGGCACCCTCGCGTGTGCATTACTCAATCCTGGATTAACAAAAATGGTGAAAACTTACACCGCTGGGTGTAAACCCCAGACATATCATTATAGCATGCGAGCATCTATATGCGCGAATGCAACACAAGCATGATACGTAAAGCCGCCATCGGTTTATACGTCAGCGCAAACCGATGCCCGGGTTCTCAGGTTTCAGCAAACCATGCTGTCAGTTAACAGCTCCAACTACAGTGTACGGCATGGGAACGCTTCTTCGCCAATCAAGGACGCCGAGTCAGACTATCAATGTGCGACGCCCAATGGAAAGGACATGTTGGTAGCGTGTGACCGTGTAAGAAATTAAGAAACCCGGTAACGCGTAACTTAGTGAGCGATGAACTCGGGATTGGATTTTACTGGAGCAAGTATAGAAGAGCGCTCGGCGGATGAAGAGCACGGCGGCAGTGGTAAGATGTCGGATTGTCAGCGTTACGCCGAAGGGCCCAGCTTCACAGGGCACCAACTTGGTTTAATAACAAGCTGTATCTTCCATTTCACAAGAAAATAACGGCTCAACGACCTGTGGTTTCCGTCCATATCGGCGCTTCCAACCATCGCAGAGCCCCATTCGCGGCGATATCAAGCTGCCCCAGCTCCCAGCATCCAACTTCCCAACCAGGATGCCGAGTATGTTAGCCACATTGCAATTGACATCGGTGGATCACTCATCAAGCTCGTTTACTTCTCTCCTGACCCGATCGACACGGGAAGCGCGGGTGAAGGGGATACGCCGTCGGGGTCGCCTCCGGTCAACTCGGAGGGCTTGTCGCAGGCCTCGTCTCGGTCGCCGCAACAAAACTCCCAGCGCGGTGGTGAGTCTGCGGGTCGGGCCGCATTATAGCACGGCGCAGCATGGTCCCGCACAGCATTGCACAGCAAGGCATAGCTTAACACCGTACCAGATCTTTTTGATTGTACGTTAACTTTAGAACACGACTCTTTGGAAAATTGGGGTGTCAGAACGTCTGTATGCGTGTTTGTGATTGAAGAGAACATATCCCCAAATCCGAAAACACCGAAAATGGATTAACCCGCCTGCTGTGCTGTCTGTATGCCCACTTGTATGTCTGTCTACCTTCCTTTCTGTCAATCGACAGGCGTGCCTGCCCGTCTGTCTGTCTGTATGTATGTCTTTCGTGGCTAGCTTTCTCAGCATGTCAGCATGCTTCGTTGGCCTATCCGTTCCATCCTGTCTGTCTGTCTGTCCATTTGTCTGGATATTGTCTCGCCTGCTGATGCATTCATGTCATGCGTCCGTCTGTCTGTCTGTCTGTCCGTCTGGAAACCAGTACAAGGGAGCATGCCGTTTCCAACCCTGAGTTCCCCACCCCTAACTCTCCCATCGCCCTCTGTGGTGCATTTCTACGTTCTTGGAGCATCAGCCCGAGCCGTGTGTGTTTTACCTACACGTTCACCCCCTCCTCTCCCTGCTCATCCCCCCAGGCAAGCTCCACTTTGTGAAATTCGAGACGAACCGTGTGGAGGACGCCATCAACTTCATAGAGGCCAAGGGGCTGCACCGGTACTGCGGGAGGAACGGAACCAAGGAGATGCGGGTCAAGGCAACGGGTAAGGGTATATGTATGTACGTATTATATTATGTGTGTATGTGTTTTTGGATGCGGAAGGGGCCTGGCGGTGCGGAATTGCTGCTATGTATGTATGTATGTATGTATGTATGTATGTATGTATGTATGTATGTATGTATGTGTAAGCATGTATTAAAGGAGGAGGCGAGGAAGGTGGGGGATAAAGGGCGGGTTAGCGGGAGAAGCCAAAGGGAAGTCGCAACTCCTCGTGGCTGGGGGCTTGGTACCGAAATACGTGCCTACACAGACACACATACATACACACACACTCCTCCCCCCTTTCCACTCCTTCCTTCCCCACCCCGAAAGGCGGCGGTGCCTACAAGTATGCTGACGTGTTCAAGGAGCGCCTGGGGGTGGTGCTGGAGAAGGAGGACGAGATGGCGTGTCTTGTGTCGGGATGTAACTTCCTGCTCAAGGCCATCCACCATGAGGCGTTCACGTACGAGGCGGGGGCGACCACCTTTGTGCCGACTAATGGTAGGGTCAAGTCCGGAGGGGGGGGTAGGGGCGCCGTGGCGGCGGCGGCGGCGGGTGGGGGGTAAGGGCCGGGGGTTGGGGGGATTGGTTAGGGGTTTGCTGGGGGGACGGTGCTAGGGGGATGCTAGCGTAGGCGCGATGGTGGAAGGAGCTGCATATGGTGGGATTGGTGCGCGTGAGTGTGTGTGCGCGCGTGTGTGTATTGTACGGCGGCTCGACTCCACCTGGTCAAGCTAGTTAGTTCAACCCCGGGTGCGCTCATTGGAAGTCCTCTCCGTGTCAAAGGATCAACTAGAAAAACACACACGCACACACACACGCGTGTCATTCAAACCCCAAAGAACCCTTTGAGTTGTTTCCGTCTCCCCTCCCCCCTCCCTCTCCCCTCACCCCGTATGGACAAATCCCGTGTTTTCCTTCGCCCTCAACCCCGTTGATTCGTTGATCGTCGGCAGTCGTACCTTTTGGACTTTACGTACGGAATTTAGTACGTACGACATAAATTAAGAATTACGCCGTACGCATACTAAATTATGCCGTAATTATGTCCCCACACACACGTCCGTGTCTACGCGCTTGGCTTGCACACATACACACCACTGCCGCACGTTCCCCGAATGACCCCCCACTAGAGGACAGCGACCTGTACCCGTACTTGTTGGTCAACATTGGTTCCGGAGTTAGCATGGTCAAAGTCAGCGGCGATAACCTGTTTGAACGGGTCAGCGGCAGCAGCATCGGCGGCGGCACCTACTGGGGCTTATGTCAGTTGCTGACTCAGCGAACCAACTTTGACGAAATGCTGGAACTGAGTGTACGGGGAGACAACTCCAGTGTGAGTGTACTGCTAGTGCTACTGCTTGCAAAGGGGAGGGGGGAGGAGGGGAAACAAAGGAAAGGGATAGGGAGGGGGGTTGGGAATGGGAAGAGGAGGGAAGGGAGGGCGGTCTCGGGGGAAGAGGGGAAACCTAGGGTTTTCCGAGGGGGGAAATAAAACACACGCAGGCCGGGCGTGAATGGATGTCATTAGGGGACGGGGGGGGCCCCCGCAATGGGGCGGGTGGGAAGGGGGACTGGGCGCTCGAGGGTTCTGACGAGACTTTGGGTTGGTCTTTAAGATTCCCAAACCTCCTGGCGTGTGGGAGGGGGGTGACCGCCAGGGCGAAGTACGACAGCCGAATGATGAGGAAATGTACGACAGGTACGGCTATAAGAGAGACCCAGCGCGTATATCGCCCGGCAGAAGAGAGTATGGGAGAGGATGTTGTGAATGTGTGTATGAGTGTGTGTATGTATGTGTGTCTGTGTAGGCACGTATTTCGGTACCAAGCCCCCAGCCACGAGGAGTTGCGACTTCGCTTTGGCTTCTCCCGGTAACCCGCCCTTTATCCCCCACCTTCCTCCCCTCCTCCCTTAATACATGCATACACATACACATACATGCATACATACATACATACATACATACATACATACATACATACATACATACATACATACATACATACATACATACATACATACATACAGGTTGACATGTTGGTGGGAGACATCTACGGAGGCCGGGACTACGCCTCCATTGGGCTCTCCGCCACCACCATTGCCAGTAGCTTTGGAAAGGTGAGGGAGGGGGGAAAGAGGGGATAATGAGCAGAATGCAACTGTCAACTGCCATTGGCGAGGCTCGCTTTGCGCGCCATGCGTGTTTTGATGGTGGGCACTGTGTATATGTATGTATGTATGTGCACTAGGAGCCATGAGTGCGCGTCTGCGCCGGTGCTATGCAACCAGCACCGGCATCGGCATATCCGTACCCGCGCCTTGTACGGCAGTGCCCCTTCCCGCCCTTTTCCCCCCTCCTTACCCCGGGTCCTCTCCCTCGCCTAGTTCTCCAACCCGCCCAGGGCCCCCCTCTCGCACTTGGTCTTCAACCGAGCCTTTTGCATCATGTTACGATTAGCCCTTCCTTCCCCCACTCCCCCCCTAACATTGCACGTCGTACTATTCCCCCCTTTCCCCCCTTCCCTCCCCCCCGGGGCCCCCCCGCCAGGTCGTCACCCAGGATAAGTCACTGGCCGACTACAATCCGGCCGACATGTGTTTGGCGCTGTGCCGTATGGTGGCGTACAACATTGGACAGCTGGCCCACATGAATGCCGTACGACACGGCATCAAGAGGATATTTTTTGGGGGTTTTTTCATTCGAGGACATCCGTACACCATGGAGACCATCAGTTACGCCATTCGCTTCTGGTCCAAGGTGTGTCTGTGCGTGTGTGTTTTGTGTGTGTTTTGTGGGGAGGGGAGAAAAAGGGGAGTCGGCCGAGGGGTCGGGATTGTGAAAGGGGGGATTGGAGGGACTTAGCCACTGGCTAAGTACACATACCCTGAGCCCACGGCGTGACATTCCAGAGCTCGGCGTGTGTTTTTTTCCGTTATCTGAGCCGTGTGTGTGTGTGTGTGTGCGCGTGTGTGTATGTCTTCCCCCGCTTCCTCCCCTTACCCCTCAATACACAGACGGAGAGGCACCCCGGTATGAGACCCCGCCGTTACCCGCGTACCATTACCCCTCCCTTCCCGATCCCCTTTCCCCGGGAGCTCTGCTCGTCGTACTGCCTCATGCCGTGAAACCCCCCTCCCCGTCCCCAAGCTTGGGGGTGCTCTCTCAGGGCGTGTATCGGCGCAGTGGACTCGTCTTTTGCTTCTCCTCGCATGTTGCACGATCATCATCGTCATCGTCATTTGACTCCCCTCCTCTCCCTTCCCTTTTTCCCCCCACTTCCCCTCCCCTCCCTTCCCCCCATTTTCGGTGTCATGTCCCACCTAACCCGGCGCCAGGGGGAGATGGCCGCGATGTTTCTCCGGCACGAGGGGTTTCTGGGGGCGGTGGGGGCCTTCCTCAAGGTGCACCCCATCATGGGGGTGGGGGGCGGGGTGGGGGGAGGCAGGGGGGGCAGCGCGGCAGGAGGTGGGGCGGAGGCGCTGGCACGCAAGGTGAGAGCAGTGTGTATGTACACATCTACGTGCATGCGTGTTTTTTTGGAGGGGGAAGGTTCCGGGTAAACGGAGGGAAAAGCACCTGTCAGGGGGGGGAAGAGGGGAGGCCACCGGGGCCGGGGTTTGGGCGCCAGGGAGGGTGAAATGAACGCGGAGGGGAGGGCGGGGGTTGGGGGGGGGGGGCA